TGGAACCTCTTCTAACCGGTTTGGTACATTTGACGAACCGGTTCTACCGAATAGGTGCGAACTGGTAGGAACCCACCTCTGACTTGATGGCCCCTTCCATCCTAAATGCATAGTCTGGGGAAAGGGGCATCTCAGTCTTAGAATAAACACAAAGAATCTTCTATGTCTACTGCTGTAAAATGACTGAGTCATTATATTATTGCCCTTTCCTGTTAGAGCAGGGGTGTCAAACTCGATTTCACTGAGGGCCGCATCAAAGTTGTGTTTGACCTCGGGGGGGCTGGGGGGAGGCGTGGCCAGAGTGGGCATGGTCAGCTCGGCGCCACTCGTGTCAGGAGCGCCTATGGAGGCCTGAGTAGTCTGCCTGCAAAAATGGGCTCGCGAGCTCCGTGATGGCTTCCTGGAACCCTCTGCCAGTGAGAACGATGCTCCATTTTCGCTAGCAGAGGCACCGCGGGCTGGTCCTTTGCTGTTTCCAAGGTGGCCCAGTGGGCCAGATCTAAGAACCCCCGCAGGCCAGATCTGGCCCCCCAGCCTTGAGTTTGATACCCCTGTGTTAGAGACTAAATGAGATGACAAACGCAGGATAGGGACCCTTCCTTCCCCACTTACCATCTGCAACTCTGAAATTGCCTTCAGGAGCTCATCCTGCATCTGCTGTTCCATCTCTTTGCTCTGACCAGGGAGGAAAAGGGAGGAAAGATTAAGATAGGGCACCCTGGGTTGCACATAGTCTACTCAACTATAGGGGTAAACAGAGACATTGTTATTGCAGCAGGCTGAGAATCTCAGCTTTGATTTTAAAGGGGGGGGGGGAGGATTTAATCCTTGTTGTTACGGAAATATAGTTGCAATCCAGCAAGCAATGCTTTAGAATAATCATAAACATGGCAGTGATTAACAAGGATTTCCAGTGACCAAAGGATAGGGCTTCAAATGCTCAGGCAGTTCTTGGCTTCCCTCCAATGACACAAAGGATTTGCATAAGCAGCCTACACATGCTTTAAAAAAAAACATAAAGGCCAATTCAGACTCTCACTGCATAAAATTACAGACTATCCTGGCAAGAAATGATTGAACACAAGTGAATTCAGATGTAATAGGAAAACATTATTTCCTGTTTTCTGATGGTGCATGTCTAACATAAAAGAAGTAAGGTCTTAAAAAATGCCATATTTTTTGGACTATAAGACGCACTGGACTATAAGATGCACCTAAATTTACAGGAGGAAAACAAGAAAAAATAGTTTTTGGCCTCTGCGCATCGCATTTTCGACCTCCCTGGCCCCCAGAAGCACTCTGCAGTGCTCCGCACGCCCCATTTTCACCAAAAATGCGCAGAGGGATTGGAAGCCCAAAACTGGGTCCATTTTGGGGCTCCCAAGCCCTCCCTGCATCGTGTTTTTGTCTTCCCAGACCCCCAGAAACACTCTGCAGTGCTCCACATGGCTTTTTTTTTTTTTTTGCCAAAAACGGGCCCATTTTTGGCCTGCAAAGTGCTTCTGGGGGCTGAGTAGGGTGAAAATGCAACACATGGAGGGCTTGGGAGCCCCAAAACAGGCACGTTTTTTGACAGAAATGGGACGTGCAGAGCATTACAGAGTGCTTCTGGGGGCCGGGGAGGGTGAAAATGTGACACACCATAAAAAACCTGTATTCGGTCTATAAGATGCACCTAAATTTTGACCCACATTTGGGGAGGGAAGGTGCGTCTTATACTATGAAAAATACGGTAACTTATCACAAAAAAAACCCCACCAAACCTTTGTTTTGCATGCTTCCTATGGTCAGAGAATTGTAAATTGTTAACAACGGAAGGTAAAATGTCCAATGTCCTCCTTACAGTTCTTCGAGTCAATTTTTAACTCCTGGTAACTGCCGGCACAAGTCCTTGTAGTTTATTTGGCAAGATTTTGGAGGTGGTTCGCCATTGCCTACTTCTGAGAGAGAGTGACTGGCCCAAAGTCACTCAGCTGGCTTTGAACCTCAGGTGGGAATGGAGCACTCAGTTTCCCGGTTTCTAAGCTAATGCCTTAATCACTACATCAACCTGGTTCTCAGTTTTCACAGCACCGGTATCTGTAAAATAGAATTCTAGTATCTCTTGGATAAAGTATTTGTAACTTCCAGGATAAATTGTTGAATATAATATATAATATATATAATAGAGCCGAGGTGGCACAGTGGTTAAATGCAGCACTGCAGGCTACTTCAGCAGAC